GTCCTTACAATAAGTTTCAATAAAAAAAAGATAACTGCATTTCAATTTATAAAGCAACAAAAAGAAATTTAAAAAACCATAGTTATTAACCATTAGGTTAGGTTAAAACCATAGTTATTAACCATTAGGTAACTATGGTGATAATGATGAGGAAGAGCGCTAAATTGTCTCATGAAATTTACATAACAAACAAAAAAAAAGATATTAAAAAAATAGTATTAAAATAACTGCCTGAGCTGTTAAAATTTTTTAATTTTTGTAAGCAATAGAAACATTGTTTCTATTGCTTAAAAAAAATAATCATTTAAAATCAATAAATCAATACAAAATTTAAAATAAAAATGAGGTAAAATTAAAAACATTTGTCTAAGAGATTTAATTTCTATAACATTGTTTAACAATGTTATAGAAATTAAATAAGAGATCTCTGATGTTGAGTGAACACAAAGGTATTAAACTCTTCAGTTAATCTCGAAGTTGATGGCTTGTTTTCAATAAAAACAACTCTATGTTCTTCGTATAATCCTTTAACTTGGCATTGTTCACATGAATAATGTTCTATAAGACCTTGTACGCATTTAAGAAAACAGCGAGAAGGTGCATCGCATATGAATGCTTTTAGTGTAACTTTAAATTTGTTATTATTATAGTAAAAACTTTTATTAGTTAACAATAAAAATTCTTTAATAAAATCATTAAGAAAATCATCTTAGCAGTTTGGTTTAGAATCTCCACAGAAAAGTGCAACAATGAAAATATAGTCCTCTATTAGACCAAGTATTGGCCATAGTTGAAGATTAGAAGATTTAAAAAGAGGTAGTCCATCCACATTAATAGTATTAGATAACTCGTTACTTTGAAAAGCATTTTTTGTATTCAAAAAATAATTTAAGCTATCAGCAATAGTAAAATATGCATAAGTTCCACTATCTACTTTAACAACTTTAAAGGGTTTTAAAACGGTTCTTGCATCATTTAACAACTCTGAATGACCATATTTTCTAAGAATCATTAAAAGTTCGTTTAAAAGACTTTGAGAAATTTTGCTTTTCGGTGACCACACTGCCAAATCCTCTAATAATGTTTCTGTTGTCAACAATAGTGATACATTATAACAATCAAAGTTCTCATATCTAAAACTTGAAGATGAACTAGTTACTCCGCATTCTTTAAAATCATTATTTATGTCTTCAAAAGGTAACAAAGGCACAAAAGGTATTTCAGGCTCAGCATAAAAAGCATTAAGTTCAGGAATCAAATCAGGTGTACTAATATTATTAATTTCATCTTCTTCATCTTCAAAATTTCATAATAAAATCCAATATACTTTTATTTAAGCGACGACGCTTCGTCGATTTTTAGTTTCCATAATGATACCTTAATAAATCTTTTTGCTGGAATAATGGTTTAAAAATGAATATAATGATACCTATAAAAAACTTTTTGCTGGAATAATAGTTTAGAAAATTAATATTCGTTGAAGTAAAACTTAACTTTATATGAAAAACTTCGTGTCTTCAAAAAGATTGTTAAAAGTCTTTTTTAATGACGTCTTAGGAGGCTTGTAAAAATGTTTAAACAAACCCATTAATAGACGGAATAAAGACGTCTTACAAAGACGCGAAATATTTTTACTACCAAAAAGTTTATTAAAAACGTCTTTAAGACGTAGATAAGATAAGTTAGATTAGCAAAAAAAAAAGGTACATCAGAATGGTTAATTAAACGTCTTTAAAACGTCGATTAAAGACAAGACCATTTAAAGACCCAAATAAGACGGTCTTAAAGACGTCTTGTGTTTGCTGGGATGTATGCGTGTGTATGTATGTGTGTGTATGTATATATATATATATATATATATATATATATATATATATATATATATATATATATATATATATATATATATATATATATATATATATATATATATATATATGTATATATATATATATACATATATATATATATATATATATATATATATATATATATATATATATATATATATATATATATATATATATATATATATATATATATATATGTATATATATATATATATTTATATATATATATATATATATATATATATATATATATATATATATATATATATATATATATATATATATCATGGCCTACTATAATTACACGGCCTGATTTGTTGCATTTTCCGTAAAAAATTAAGAGGCCAGTTTTTTTACGGCTAACGTTTGAAAGCTTGAATTCTTCTGTTAGTATTGTGAAAGTTTTATAGATATTTTATTAAAATTGGAAAAAATGACTCGGATTTTCTTGGTTTAGTTACATTATGTTATACTGGATTTTTCGCTAACTGATTGCCTGCTTCAGTTTATTCCAGTAAAACAGAATACTGAAATAGGCTTTCAGATAGCTATATATAAACATGGTACTTAAAATAACATTACATGTTGAAAAGACCATCTTCAAATCTTTAGTGGAAATAAAATCAAAGGTTTGTTATATTGTTTTTATTATAATTGAATCAAACAGTATAAAAGAAATAGCTTTTTATTAGGAATTATTATTGGTTCTCTGTCTTTTTTTAAATTGTTTCACCTGATCTTTTCTTACTGAATCAGTTGTTTCTTTTTGCAAATTGTTATAAAAGATATTTATAACGATACGAGATCCATATTTTATACCCAACTCTTGGTGATTGTCACAAGTAAAATCAACACTGCTGTAATAATTTTTAAAAATTTGTTCTGCAAAACTTTTAATTGAAAAAGAATAACTGCAATTTTATTATTTTTCAATTAAAATTTTTCAATGGAGATATGACATCTAAAATACTAAAAAGATGACAAATATAATCAGACAGAGGTTGACTTGGACATATAAGTCCACCTCTGGATAATATTTTCAAGTATTCATTATTAAGAATATCTTGGTCTGTAGATACCATTTTTTGATTACAAGTATGACATCCAAATTTTTTTTTCAACTTTTTTGCAACATACCCTGCTATTGTAACAGCAACTTCCATGCTATCTTCTGAAAGCTGACACTCTAAAATCTCTGTAGACAACAAATCAATTTCTTGCATAATATTTTCTAAACTAGAATTATCAAATGTCTGATAAATATTTTCTTCCCAGAAATTAATATCTTCCTTTAGAAGACTTCTTACTGCCAAAATTTTTTTACTATTGCATACTTCTAAAAGACTCACTAGAAATCTGCCACCACTCATTTGTCTATACTTACTAAAACGTAGCTCCAAAGGATCACTTTGTAACCTGGAAGTAAGAACATATGTATAGTCTTCTTCAAGCAAATCATCGATAAGAGATGCAGTTGCCCGTAATGTTGTAATAAGAGCAAGAGAAGTTTGTTTGGAAAATGTAAAATAATCACATTTTGACCAAATATCAATCCAACTTGCAATTTCTCTATAAAATGTGGGCTTGTTATCACCCTTCACAGCAGCATTGCCAAGTTGATTGGATGTATTAAATTTCTGCTTTGAATTAAGTGTGATGAACAACTTATGAAACAATGATAAAAATTGTGCTGCATCATTTCTTTCAGGAAAATAACTTAGTATTGCAGCTGTAGTTGTTTCATCAAATATTGCCAATGCAAGGTTGACATCTTGTTTGTTATTTCCAGGATGAGTGACCTGATAATTGATTTTTTTCGCTTTTTTTAAGTTGCCGTTTAATAACTGATCTTTTTCATAGATATTATGAAATAAACTCCATGCTATGTAACCAGCAGGAACTTCAACTTTGTCTTTAAACAAATCAAATGAAAAAGAAGGAAAAACATA